CTTTTTGGAAACACAGGAAGGAGCACTCAGCTAAGTGAGCTTAGTGCTTGGAAAAAATCTTTCATTCCTTTAGAGACAGCATGAAAAGTCAGCTGAGTACAAAACATAGAGAGGAAAACAAGAAGAAAAGGGACAAGAAGAGAGGGACACAACCTAGAACAGATGATGGATGTCTATTCTATTAACATTTCTCTATCTGTAGTTAAAAACACTGATCATTTATTGAACATTATTTAATAATTTCATATTTAAAGAACTTTCAGAAGTTTGAATTCTTAATATGAGTGGATTTTTCCTTTAAAGGCGTTGCTGTGAGATCTCAGAAAATATTCTGTTCTAAAAAACATTTTTTTTATGATGGTAAACAAAATATATTGAAAAAAATTCTGATTGAATTTCTTATTTTATAATTGTTATAAATGTCAAATATGAATCATTTTGGATCTGCTTGATATCAGTGAAATCAATAGTGAAAATTGTGTCTTTTTAAGATCAATATAAAGCAAAATTATCTCAGATTCTCCTATAGTCATATTTTTCTCATGTCGGAGAGGAAAAGCCAGGAGCTGCTGAGGTCTCATCATCACACAGCTGCTTTAACATCTCAGATAAGATTAAGATGAAAATTAAAATCAGTGAAGCTGCATTTAAATCCAAAGACGCTCTCGTGAGGTCTATTCCTGTATGACAATGATGTTGGTGCCCATAAATCCGATAGTACTTGAACGCATCTGACGTAAAGGGAACTATATATCAACCACTCAGAAAGCAGCATTTGCTCACACCGCTGGAGTCAGACATGAAGGAGGAGCGACAGAAAAAAGCTGCTTTTCTAAATGATTCAGATGCTTTAAACTGATGTCAACAGTTAGAAGCTGTAAACTTTAAGATGTAAAAAGAGGAATCTGTCCTGTTTTATCTCAATGCCAGAACTTATAGTTGTTAATTTAATAAAAACTTAATCAAGTACTGGACCGTTAAATCTGATAGAGATGATGATTAAACAATAACAGGTAGCATGACATTTTTTTTTTATTTATGAAAAAAAAAATCTGAATATATGCTCAGGGCCAAAGTTTTCTGACCTCTGGTCAAGATCTAAATATGAAGAGTTATATATACAGATATATATATATATATATTTTAGGGATGCACGATATTGGGATTTTGGCCGATATCCGATATGCCGATATTTTAAAACTCATGTAGCCGATAACCGATATCGATACC